AAAAATTTATATATGTTATAAAACCTGAGATCATATTTAAGGCATTGTGGGAATTTAACTTTGCGATCCAAGCCTAAAACTGATTTAGACTAAAGATATATAATAAATATTTATATTATTTATTAAATCTTTCCTATTGTATGCAATAAAAGATACTATTTAATTTTATGGAATATATTTTGTTAAAGAATTAAATTTTTTGTTTTATAAATACATTATAGTTTTTTTTATCTATCACTTATTCAAAAAAATATATTTTTAGTTTTATATTTTTCTTTATAATGTTAAGTTTTCATTTTAAGATATTCAAAACTGTTTTTTCTTTTTTTGAACATTTAGATAAATGTTTTATTTTATATTCAAAACACTTATTATAAATTTATATGTTTCATTTTACTTTAAGAAGTCAATCAAAATTAAATATTTCATTTTACCTTCAAATACAATCTGAATCAAAATATTTTACTAAGTATATTATTTATATTTTGTATATAAGGATCATTTATTTTGTATTAGATCATCATTTTGATCATTACGATTATTTTTATTTTACCAATAAACTTCATTGTGTGTCTTCATTTTATGGTAATTTTATAGTGCTTCTTCATCCTAAACAATATTGTGCATATTACCAAGCGATAAAACTTCATTGTGGCAGAATACCTCTACTTATTATTTATTAAATATCCAACTAACTACGAGATCAGGAAATTTGACGACAATATTGGCGAAACAGTACAGCATATACACAGGAGGAAATTTAGGGTTCATTTTTATTATGACAACATTGATTATTTAAATATGATGTATGATATAGTCCAAGGCTTAGAGTGTTGAAATGCCGATTGGGAAATTTTTATTATTGTTATTTGGTCGTGATTGGGACATGAAGAATGTTTAGAAGAGATTTGTTACACGATAATATTCTTGATGAAGCACTATATTATTACCATGAAAATTACTAAGATACACAATGAAGAAAATTCTTGAACACGATAAATTTATTGGTAAAACAAAATTAAATCATAATGATCAAAAATGATCAAACAATACAAAAAAATCGTTTCTTAAATACAAAATAAAAATAATATAATTAGAATAAAATATTTTGATTTAGATTGTTTTCTAAAGTAAAATGGAAAAATCTTTAATTTAGAATGACCTTTTAAAGTAAATTGAAACAAAAACCTCTACATTTGTTTTTTGCATATTATTAATAATTAAAACTAATAGTTTTTCTAAAAAAAGAAAAACAATTTTGAATTCTTAAAATTAAAACTTGACTTATTAACAATTATCAATGCTCATAGATACCAAGGAATATAGTTATATTAAACATATTTTTTTTCCATAACGCATTTAAATGATAATAGAATTAGAAAACTATTCAAAGTAATTGAAATATAGATGAGAATAAATATATTATTAGATGGATAATTTAATATAAAAATCATGGTAATTGTTTTCCATAATATTTTGTGCTCCATGTATCTTTTTGCATTCCTTTATATATCATATAAAACCAATAATCAAATGTTACCAATTTTAGTTAGTCGCTAGCAGTGTTAATATTATAACAAACTATTAAGTTAATGTATATTATTATAATGTAAGATGAAAGAAATAAAAATAAAAATCAGTCCGTAAAGTAATAGGTTATTACGGTTAAGTTAAGGTTTTTTTTTATATTATATATATATCAGAGACTTGCAGGCCCGGCCCTAAACCCGGCCCGGCCCTGGGCCGTATTTTAAATTTTTTAAATATATCCGGGCCGGGCTGGGCCTAAGAAAAATAAACATATACGAGCCGGGCCTTAAAAATTTTTTTTTAAATATATCCGGGCCGGGCCTTAATATTTTTTATGAAAATTTTTACATTATGAGTTAATAGTTATAAGATTATATTATATTATAGTTATGATTAATATAATATTGGGTGATGGTTAACACTACCTAACAACCCACAGATCGATCTAATTATTAATTTCCTGCAAATTTATTCAAAGTATTAATATATTTTTTTATAATTCATATCTAAATTTTTACAACATATTTTACCAAAACAATCAAATAAAGGAATATCTTAAATAAGCCCCAATATTCAAGTATTATTAATATATTTTTTTATAATTCATATCTAAATTTTTAGAATATATTTTACCAAAACAATCAAATAAAGGAATATCACTTCTTAAAGTTTGTAATACCTTTCAAAGCGAAAAGGAGAAATAAAATTGATTTTACTTAATATAAAGCATTTTTTAATTGAAAAATTTGTTTTACACAAGTATCATTTTATTTCTCTTTTTCTCTGTCCCAAATTCAAGCAATTACGTATGTAGTCAGGGACAGATCGCAAATTGACGGAAAACTATATAAAAGATTATAGTAAATTACAAGAGGCTCAGGAAGTAAATGAAATACCATCGACCAGTCAAATTACGACTGTTGTTAAACAAACTGAATCGTTTTATGACAAATGGGGCGATGGTAATTCTGGTAATATGTCAATACCCGATGATGAATATTATAATTACATAAATAAAAAAATAGATGAAACATTTAAGGTGGATAATTTGTTAGAGTGGTGGGCGGCTCATCAAAGCGAATTTCCAATTTTAGTAAAATTGGCAATTCTTGCTTCAAGTGCAAGCTGTGAGCGGAATTTTTCCACTACGAGAATTCTTGAAGAAAGAAGAAGTAATCTTCAACCTGAAAAGGTAGATATGCTTCTCTTTCTTCATGATAATTTGTGAATTTTTAATATCTTTCTTGAGTATAGGGTTTCGTCAATTATGCTGGTTTTTTACTTTGCAAACTGTCAAATATTTATTGCATTTATTATATTTGCCTTGAGTCATAAAAGTTTTTAATCCAACATTTTTCATTATTTTTTTTTACAATATTATATAATACAATTATCTTCTTTTGTTAAAAATTTATATTATAAAATAAATTATATTAATATTGTGCAATTAGATTATATTTTCAAAATACTATTTATTATACATGCATTTTTTTAAATAGCGATTTATTTTTATTTTATAAATTAAATAGTAAATTAAATACAATATATTATATTCTCAAAATATTTTCCATTTTTATAAATTAAATATTAGTTTTATTTTTTTTAAATGTAATATAAAATATAGTATATGACAAATATTATTACCATTTTTATGAATATTAGTTTTATTTTTATAAATGCAATATAAAATATAGTATATGCTCAAAATATCCATTTTTATAAATAACAGTTTTATAATTTTTATAAATTCAATATAATATTTTCAAAATATTAGCTTTTTACATGTATTTTTTAAATAATAAGCGATAATACTGGCTGAAAAATATGGTAAAATACCTCATAGGTGAATTTTTGTATATACCAGGTCGAATATAATTTAAAAAAATTCCGAGCCGGGCCTGAAATTTTTTTAAAAAAAAATATCCGGGCCGGGCCTTAAATTTTTAAATCCGGGCCGGGCCGTAAAAAATTTTTTTTAAAAATATCCGGGCCGGGCCTTAAATTTTTAAATCCGGGCCGGGCCGTAAAAAATTTTTTTTTAAATATCCGGGCCGGGCCTTAAAAATTTAAAACCGGGCCGGGCCGTGCAAATGGTACCTCTGCAGGTCTCTGATATATTTGTTAACGGCAATGTGAAATATTCGGCAATGTGAGGTAGTGGTAGGCAGGGTAATTTTTTTATTTCGACCATTTAAATTTTATTGAATTTTTTTACAAGAAATATATCATATATTCATTTTTAGTTTCTTTAAGGTTAATATAACATTCCAAAATAAAAATATAATTTGCATATAATCTACTAATTAAAACTTATAATCTGAAAATATAATAAATAAAATTAATATAGTCCCCTTCAATCTCAGGTAAAAATTGATATATATATCATAATTTCATTTTTTAGCTAATTTAGATTTTACCTTATTCTTTATTATTATGTTTTATTTCAGCTGCAATCATAAATAATGGTAAGCAGCTTTACTTTATTACATGACACCTAACCTCCTAATGGAGTATATAATATAACAACAATCTTTTATTTTACAAAAGGTATGGACACAAATAGGTGTTGATTTAACTGCTTTGCCTGAAAGTGAGGATGGCTATAAATACATTGCTGTAGCAGTTGATTATTTCAGCAAATATATTGTAGCCATGCCTTTAAAAAATAAAACAGCAAAATCATTATCGCGATTCCTTTACTCGTTACTATGCACACATGGTAGGGCAAAAGTATAATAAATTTGGTAATAAAATATTAATATTATATATAGATTCAAATTAATGATCAAGGACGTGAATTCGTAAATGAAATAAGTAATAATTTTCACAAACTCATAGGGACCATGCAGAGGGTGACAAGTGCTTATCACCCTCAAGCAAATGGCATGGTTGAAAGAGTGAATAGGACAATCCAAAATGCACTACTAAAGTGTATTAAGGATGATCAATTAATTTGGACAGATGCCTTGCCTGGCATAATATTTGCCTATAACACTTCTCTACACGAATCTTCGAAGTTTACGCCATATCAGCTGATGTATGGTAGAAAAGCAAAACAAGCTTATGAGGTATGATAAATCTCATTTTATAATCATATACTATATATTATGTCTCTATTTAAGATTGACGAGGAAGAGGATATTGATCCTGACAATGTACCTGAAGCAGATTTGGAATCTTGTTTTCAAGATACAGTTTCCAGGATGAATGATATTCATGAGATAGCTGCTGGCAATATAGATCTTGCTCAGCTTAAACAGCAGAGGGATTATAGAAGTCGTAATGCTGGTAGAAATAACCATTATTTAGTAAATGATCAAGTGCTTATTTGGAACAGCCGTCGGGCTGATAGGAAAGGTGGTAAAATGACCAGACCTTGGATGGGTCCTTATACAATAGTTAGGATTCTTAAAAGTGAAATTTATCATTATTATTAAATTATTTTTAATATTTAGGCAATATTGAGCTCATGAATGCTAGCGGTAGCATTTTAAAGAGCAAAGCAAATATATGTAATATAAAACATTACTTTGCAAGAAAAGGTATATAATTGTCTTAATTACTTAGTAATATACATATTTTTTAGATGATAAAAACTGTGAGGTAGTGAGTTATAATGAGGAGTTAAATGCTCAAGAAAATCACTTGAACGGTATTATTTATAAAACTCACATTAATTTTTTTAAATATTTAGTCTCAAAATTACTCAACACGATTATTGGGGAAGAGAATAAGAATTGTGAAGACCAAAAATATAAAATATTTATTATTATATGTATTTTTTAGATGATGCAGATTTTAAGAGGATAAAGATATTAAATGATGAAACGAAGATGGTAGAGCTTGGTAGCCATCGAGAAAATAGTAATATTTTTATAAATCGATATAATTTGTTTTTTAAATTATTAGTTATGCCTTCTAATCCTAATATTTCAGCTGTAATTGACAAAGTAGGACTGTTAATTGAGAAAGGTATTAATATGTGTTATTATTTAATTGTGCATATTTTTTAGATAATGAATTGACAGTAGAGACTGTAATTTCTAAGAAAAATGATGCAAATCTATTTCTTCCCACCAACAGAATATGGAAAATTTATCATTCTGAACGTTTTCATTTTCCGATCAAGAAAAGATATCCAAAAAATGATAATGGTGTAATGGGAGATAATTTTTCTACCGAGCGGATTATTGGTGATGGAAATTGTCTCTTCAGGTATACATATTTAAAATAAATTATTGTTAATCATTATTGTAGATGTATAAGCAAAGAAGTTTGTGATGACGAATGCCACTACGATTTTCTGAGACAGCAATGCATTCTCTTTATGAGAAGCAAGGATATTGTTGAGCAGATGGAGGGGTTTTTGAGAGAACCCGTTGACAAATATTTGGAGAGAACACGCATGGCTCAAAATGCAACTTATGGAACAGAGGTGGAGATAGTTGCATTGGCAACTATGCTTCAAACAAATATAATTATCCATACCATTTATAAATGGGCATATTACACACCAATTAAAAAATTAAGTTACATTAAAAAATTTAATTTGAATATATATTTAAGAAATTATCGCGAACATTTTGACCGCATAATAAATTTTAATTAATCTTTATAACGCATGTCTTATTTACATCGCACATCTTTATAACGCATGTCTTATTTATATCGCATATCTTATTTATACCGTATATCTTATTTATATCCCATATCTTTATATCGCTTATCTTTATATCGCATATCTTCATAACGCATGTCTTATTTACACCGCACATCTTTATAACGCATGTCTTATTTATATTGTATGTCTTATTTATATTGTATGTCTTATTTATATCGCATGTCTTGTTTATATCGTACGTCTTGTTTATATTGCATATCTTTATAACACATGTCTTATTTATATTGCATTTTATATACACGTCATTCATAAATGTCTGTATTAATAAAAATATTATATTTAATCTTTACATATGAGTCATAAATGTCAGTATTATTAAAAATATTATATTTAATCTTTACACGTCAGTCATAAATGTCAATATCACTAAAATATTATATTTGATCTTAACATGTCAGTCATAAATGTCAATATCATTAAATTAAAATCTATTTAAAACAGGGATTCACTTAAATATCTATAACAATAGAAAATATAATATTTGATCTTTACACGTCAATCATAAATGTCAGTATCACTAAAAATATTATATTTAATATTTGCGCGTCAGTCATAAATGTCAATATTACTAAAAATAATAATATTAAATCTTAACATGTCAGTCATAAATGTCAATATCACTAAATTGGAATTTATTTAAAAAGGAATTTATTTAGAACGTTGCACCGGTTTAAATCAGGCAATGTATTTATTCTATTTTACAAATTAATAAATTTATTATTTATTTGAGATTAATTTATTATTATTTAATATTAATTTATTATTATAAATTTATTTTATATTTTTTTTAAAATATATTTTAATTTGTTACAATATATTTTTTGATTGATATTTTTTTTTAATATATATATTTTTTTGGTTATTGCTTAAGTCGAAGGGTATATTATTTTTTTTTTATTTTTTTGTTATTTTTTTTATGTTTTTTTTAAATGTTATTTTAAATTAATATAGTATTATTATGTAAATATATTTTTCTGTAAATCAAAAGTAGTAATATATTTAAATCTATTTATCTTAGATATAATAGGTTGGATCAAACAAATTATTTCCATTATAGGGTCAATCATTCCCGAAACTTCGTTGACCCAAATGATAGATCCATTCACACCCAAAAAGTCGAAAGACGATCTTAAGGAAAACTATAAAAGACATGGGGATCGAGAGAATATTCATGAATATTTACTTGAATATAGATATTTTAGAAAACATAAATTATTAAATCGCTTTGATCTTTTTATTCTATTTATAAATGACTGTATACATTTTAATACAATTTTTCAATTTAATGAATAAAATTGACTCGTTTATTACAATATTTCGATATTTTTATTTTGTATAAATTTCAATAATATATTTCAATTTATTTCGAATTAACCCTTCCCAACAAAGGTTAAAAAAATCACTTAGAATTTAAAGATGGGGTCTATTTTACCCCTAATAAATACAAAATTTAAGATTTTGTGCTAATTTTCCTAAAATTGCTTAGATTATCAGACTATATTTCAATTTAATGAATAAAATTGACTCATCACAATTCTTCTACCCTCCTCCCCTCCCTAGGAATTAAGAAATATTTTTAAAAAAGAAAAAAATATTTTAAAATATCTTAAAAGAAAAAATACATATTAATTTAAAAATTTATCACCAAATAATAAAAATATGCTACATTATTTTAAAAATTTATCACAAAACCAAATAATACTATATTAATTTAAAATAACATTTAAAAAAAACATAAAAAAATTAACAAAAAAAATAAAATAAAAATACCCCTCGACTTAAGCAATAACCGATATATCTTTTGATCGCTAATTTTTTTAACTTTTGTGTTATAGGATTTTTTTAATAAATTTTTTTGATTGATATTTTTTTAATATATTTTTATAATAAATTTTTTTAAATATATTTTTTTGATTGATATTTTTTAATATATATTTTTAAAATGTTTAATATATATTTATATTTTACTTAATTTAATCTATTATATATCTTTTGATAGATAATTTTTTAGGTAATAGTGACAAATGTCATAATCGCTATTTTTGAACTTTTTTGAGTTTTTTTAAAGCAAATAGATAAAAATATGTTTTGTAAATATGTTAAATTAGTATTTCAGTGAAAGTGTACTATAGAAAAGTGACAATTGTCGCAATCGCTATTTTTGAACTTTTTAAAGTTTTTTTAAAGTAAATGGGTAAAAATATGTTTTGTAAACATGTTAAGTTAATATTTCAGTGAAAGTGTACTAAAGAAAAGTGACAATTGTCATAATCGTTATTTTTGAACTTTTTTGAGTTTTTTTAAAGTAAATAGGTAAAAATATGTTTTGTAAACATGTTAAATTAATATTTCAGTGAAAGTGTACTATAGAAAAGTGACAATTGTCATACTCGTTATTTTTGAACTTTTTTAAGTTTTTTTAAAGTAAATGGGTAAAAATATGTTTTGTAAACATGTTAAATTAATATTTCAGTGAAAGTGTACTATGGAAAAGTGACAATTGTCATAATCGTTATTTTTGAACTTTTTTGAGTTATTTTAAAGTAAATAGTTAAAATATGTTTTGTAAACATGTTAAATTAAAATTTCAATATAGGTGTACTATAGAAAAGTGACAATTGTTATAACCGTTATTTTACTTTTTTGAGTTTTTTTAAGGTAAATAGGTAAAAATATGTTTAATAAACATGTTAAATTAAATTTAAATATAGGTGTACTATAGAAAAGTGACATTTGTCATAATCCTATTTTTGAACTTTTTTGAGTTTTTTTAAGGTAAATAGGTTTAAATATGTTTTGTAAACATGTTAAATTAATATTTCAGTGTAAGTGTACTATAGATAAGTGACAATTGTCATAATCGTTATTTTTTAACTTTTTTGATTTTTTTTAAGGTAAATAGGTAAAAATATGTTTTGTAAACATGTTAAATTAATATTTCATTGAAAGTGTACTATAAAAAAGTGATAATTGTCATAATCGTTATTTTTAAACTTTTTTGAGTTTTTTTAAGGTAAATAGATAAAAATATGTTTTGTAAACCTTAAATTAATATTTCAGTGAAAGTGTACTATAGAAAAGTGACAATTGTCATAATCATAATTTTTGAACTTTTTTGAGTTTTTTTAAGGTAAATAGGTAAAAATTTGTTTTGTAAACGTTAAATTAAAATTTCAATTTAGGTATGTTTTATATTTTTAAGTCACTAACAGTAATATCAACAATAAAATTCCTAAATTCGCTTTTATTTATATATTCAAAATTGATGAGTTATTTTCCTGCTAATCGTCATTCCTTGATTTGATTAAACTCGAGATTTTATTAATAATACATTAATCACTTCAAATGATAATAAATTCCACTATTATGATTAAACTTTATCTTCATAGATCCGGAAATGTTTTTTTAACATAATTTATGATAGTAGGCCGATATAAGATTAAAATAATTGTAAGATTAATTTATTTTTCCCCAAAATGTTAACTACGAAATATATTAAATATAGAATCCTGCATTAATACCTTTGATTTATTTATTTCAATTCTCTGAGTAAATACATTTTAAATATTTATTCACTTTAGTGAACAATCTGAAATTACAATTTAAAGCTACTATTGAAATTTAAATCTATCAAAGTATTAAATAGCTTTTCGAAAATGATAATTACGAAATTAATTTTATCATTTTCAAAGTTAGCCCTCATATTTATATTTATTTTAAACAATTACTAAGATTATACACCAACTATTCTAAGTTTATCTAAGTTTTTTTCGAGAAATGAAGGCCTTTGGATAATTTTTTTTACTTTATTTTATTGAATTATGCTAGGCTCTCTCTTTGAAAGCCTTTGGCCAATTTATGTTTTAAATTTTCATCGGGTTTATAATCTTTTTTTAAAAAATATTTCTCACAAATTTTATAAGGTCATTATTTTTTTTCATTTTTTTATATTTTTGTGACATCATATACGCACCTTAAGTTATTTGATAGGGGTAAATTTTAATATTTTAAATAAAATTTACCAAATCAGACACGTTTGGTAAAATGTGTGGTAATTTTTTCTTCCCCCCCCCTATCATATTTATATGCTTCTTAATATTCATGCTACAAATAAAAAATGTCAAAATAAATGATAATTTTATATATATATTGAATTATATTGAATTATATTGATAATAAAAAAATGAGTTGTAAATATTGTTTTTTCTATTTTGAAGATACAAAATCTTACAAGATCTTATAGGGAAGGCTTGCTACCAGATTTCCGTTAATAATATAGCGTAAAAATATATTTTAATAATATTAAGAAGCATATAAATATGATAGGGGGGGGGAGAAGACCACCCATTTTACCAAATGTGTCTGATTTGGTAAATTTTATTTAAAATAATAAAGAATTTACCATTATCAAATAACTAAAAGTGCGTATATGATGTAACAAAAATATAGAAAGATGAATAAAAATAATGACTTTATAAAATTTGTAATAAATATTTTTAAAAAAAAGATTATAAACCAGAGGAAAATTTAAAACATATATTGGCCAAAGGCCTTCAAAGAGAGAGCCTAGCATAATTCAATAAAATATAGTAAAAAAAATTATTCAAAGGCATTCATTTCTCGAAAAAAACTTAGATAAACTTAGAATAGTTGGTGTATAATCTTAGTAATTGTTTAAAATAAATATAAATATGAGGGCTAACTTTGAAAATTCAAAATTAATTTCGTAATTATATTCATTTTGGAAAAGCTATTTAATACTTTGATAGATTTAATTTTCAATAGTAGATCTAACTTGTAATTTCAGATCGTTCACTAAAGTGAATAAATATTTAAAATGTATTTACTCACAGAATTGAAATGTCAAAGATATTATAGTTAATTGATATGCAAATAACCGATGCAGTATTCTATATTTAAATATATTTCGTAGTTAACATTTTAGGAATAAATTAATCTTACGAAATCTTAATTTAACATGTTTACAAAACATATTTTTACATATTTACCTTAAAAAATTTCAAAAAAGTTCAAAAATAAGGATTATGACAATTATCACTTTCT